GGGGGGGGGGGGGGGGGGAGCAAGAGAGAATGAGGTTGGTCAGGAGGGGGGGAAGGTTTGAAAATATTCTCAGCTTTCTCAAAATGGCTACCCCCTCCCCTCTCCTCACAGCAAATGAACGACCAGCCCTCAGATCGATAGAAAAAGCAAAAATCGACCCACAAAACCCATCGTCTTTAAAATTTGCTTGAAGGGTAGTCTGTGAAGGTGCAAGAAAGGACATACATTCAGGAAATTGACGGAACAGCTTACCATATTTGCAGCTTGTGAAATCAAACGTGAAATCGTGAAAGAGACGAATCGGGATCCGAGGGGCATAGCTGCGTAGGAGTATTGTCGACATTCTTTCGCGCTATTGATATAGAACATTACCTCAGACCCCACAAAGACTAAACAACTCCAGTCTTGACTTGTCCATATTTTACCCTTGTACTATTGGTGGTTTCAGCGCCAACTATTGTATGTCATGCGAAACCATCTTATTTCACGCAGCACTATGTGTTTCATCGTACCTCCACTTCAGTCTCAATTAAATCATTCGACATCACATTGAACCTCATTTGCCTATGCCTTAAACCATTTGTCTCTCGATTAAATCGTTCGACTTTATATTGAACCATTTGCGTATGACTTAAATCACTTGTAAATGTTTGAGTGACTTCTTACTTTACTCAAACCATTACGCGACAGAGCAGCTGACCGTTCGTTATCAAGCTCGATCATTTTGCGCATGGTATATTGGTGGATTATAATTTAAACAAACCGATTCTTGTTTGGCGATATCGTTTTAACATCTACCAGTGGACAGCTCCTCATCTGACCAAATCGTTTGTAGGTTAGGTGAACCATTTCACACAAAACAACCAGACTATTTTATTTTAAGAATGATCATTTCTTTATTATTTGACCATTTCGTAATTCATCACTAATGACCATTTGCGCTTTGTCTGTGCTATTTGACATGATTGTGTTTTTGGTAGTAACGGCTTTCTACAAACGGCCGCCCATACTCTGCCCTTAACCTTCTCTTTTTGGGTTCAGAATTCAAAGTGAATATTAAAGAAAAAATGTTGACCTTGTTATACTGTACTAACATTAATGATCTAATACTGTACCAACATTGGACAGGTCAGTATAAAATATGGACTGCGGACTGCGGACTGCGGACTGCGGACCACGGACTGCGGACTGGGTATAAAACACGGACTAGGTATAAAATGCGGACTCCAGACTACGTATATAAAAACAGCTTTAGAAAGGTAAAACTGAGAGAAACGGAAAGCGGACTAGCATAAAAAAGTAGTCCTAGCTCCTTGCGTCACAAACAAACATTCCTTTAGCTGGTCACGCAGTGTATTCTTCCCAACGTCAGTGTCATGAGCAGAGGGAAAGCATACTGCATGGACAAGGAAGGTTATGCCTCTACTCAAGGCAACTGAAATTCAACTCTCAATTCTTTAAAAAGAAGGAGTTAGAAGAGAATTAAATTTATAGTTTTAAAGCAATAAGAAGCACCGAATAAAAAAAAAAGTATTGGTGTTACTCAATGTAAAATTTTTAGAGATGCCACTATTCAGTTTCAAATAAAGCCTTGGGAATATGAGGAAATGAAGAACTGAGACGAGAAGGTCAATATAGGGGCATTCCGCGATGTAAAAAAGCAGTATTTAAGGGGGAGGGATTAGTCACCTNACCAGTGGACAGCTCCTCATCTGACCAAATCGTTTGTAGTTTAGGTGAACCATTTCACACAAAACAACCAGACTATTTTATTTTAAGAATGATCATTTCTTTATTATTTGACCATTTCGTAATTCATCACTAATGACCATTTGCGCTTTGTCTGTGCTATTTGACATGATTGTGTTTTTGGTAGTAACGGCTTTCTACAAACGGCCGCCCATACTCTGCCCTTAACCTTCTCTTTTTGGGTTCAGAATTCAAAGTGAATATTAAAGAAAAAATGTTGACCTTGTTATACTGTACTAACATTAATGATCTAATACTGTACCAACATTGGACAGGTCAGTATAAAATATGGACTGCGGACTGCGGACTGCGGACTGCGGACCACGGACTGCGGACTGGGTATAAAACACGGACTAGGTATAAAATGCGGACTCCAGACTACGTATATAAAAACAGCTTTAGAAAGGTAAAACTGAGAGAAACGGAAAGCGGACTAGCATAAAAAAGTAGTCCTAGCTCCTTGCGTCACAAACAAACATTCCTTTAGCTGGTCACGCAGTGTATTCTTCCCAACGTCAGTGTCATGAGGAGAGGGAAAGCATACTACATGGACAAGGAAGGTTATGCCTCTACTCTAGGCAACTGAAATTCAACTCTCAATTCTTTAAAAAGAAGGAGTTAGAAGAGAATTAAATTTATAGTTTTAAAGCAATAAGAAGCACCGAATAAAAAAAAAAGTATTGGTGTTAGTCAATGTAAAATTTTTAGAGATGCCACTATTCAGTTTCAAATAAAGCCTTGGGAATATGAGGAAATGAAGAACTGAGACGAGAAGGTCAATATAGGGGCATTCCGCGATGTAAAAAAGCAGTATTTAAGGGGGAGGGATTAGTCACCTGTACGTGAATAATAACCGAAATGAATCATCCAACGTCATATTCTAAGCAATGATTATGATGATATGATCAGTACACCCTGCTCCTGACCCCCCCGGGGGGTACCCCTGGGAAATCTATACCCATTTTCAGTCCTGGCCTAATTTAGCCTGTTCCAGGTTTTCAGATAGTGGGGGAGACTCCCCAGTTTCCTCCCGTTTTATTTTCGTGTTCGCGCTTTCTCAATTCAGCGGACCCAGCTATCTCGGAGCCTGGAACAGGCTAGGCATAATTAGGCAGGAAGTATGTCATCATTACCAGATTAGAACGGAAATAAAAAAAAAATCCTCAAGTGATTTAAAATTCGCATATTTCTATTTCGTTCTTATTCATTTGGAATTGTAACGATCAATAAGTTCATCATGTCACTCCCGTAGTTCCCTCGAATCCAAAATGAGCAAAGTGTTTTCAGACCAAAAAGGCCTAAAAACCCTGCCCTTTGGGGCAGCACATACCTATATAACTTATATAAGGAAGTCCCACCCCCCTCCTCGGGTCCTGACCCCTTTCATGGTTGTTAGAGACTGAGACCAGGTCTAAAAATAGGTGTAGAAAATTGGTCAGGTGCATGGTTCAGAGAACCGGGCGCCACACCTCCACCAAGAATTTCTAAGTGTATTTATAACTTAATTCACTTTTCTTTCTATTTATCGATTTTTTGATCTTATTTTTCGTTACCTAGTTCGTTTATTTTACACCCAATCCGCAGTCCGCAGTTCGCGTTTTATACCTAGTCTGTATTTTATAACCAGTCCGCAGTCTGTAGTCCGCAGTCCTCAGTCCATTTTTTATACTGACCGACATTGATCTTAATTAGACTGCCGTGATCATTACGAGTTTTGTGGACAGTGGGCGAAAGGTCAATACTGCGAAATGAAAGATTACAAAGATTACATGCACCTTGTATGTCCATACTCGTGCGGCCTCTGTAACGGTAAAATAAACTTTTATACCTTTACATACTACTTGCTCACATTGTTGATGCTAAGCCGTGATATTTCTAATAGCCTGCTTGCACTCCACTAAATTTCTCTTTAAAAACCTCTCGGGTTACTTATCCCGCGTTTTCAAAACAAGGCGATTAAACGAGATGGGATTAGGGAGAGACACAGAAAGAGGGACCTCTGGCGCTTGTGTAATTTATAACAAACTTAGAGGCAGATCCAGAAAATTCAGAGAGGCGTCGCCAGGACACTTGCCAACTATATAGATACTATTTTTTGTACTCAGAATTCCTAGTAAAAGAAAATATTACAGAAAAGGTAAGGACGCTGTCTCTCGACCCTACCCTTAAATCGGCCCATGAAACTCTCCGTCAACCCGGCAAGGAATGTTAATAAACACAGTGACAGTGGATGAAACAAGACTTGTTTCCCAAATAATAAATATCAACCCCCTTATTACCTATCAGCCCATAATTGGTTGGGACAGAGAGGGAATCTTAGGGCCTTGATGTCTACCTCCCCTACTCTAGGCCTTCCTGCCTAATATTATCGAACTTCTCGTTAAAAGATGAACGGAACACCGTTATGGACCTTAGCTTGTTAATGAATGAAGGACCAAAAAAATACTAGATTGGGAAAAAAGCGTCTTAGAGAAGTAGAATTGAGTTCAGTTATCACGTGACCGCCATAAATGACCATCATTAAATCCCGCGCGGGCGCCACCCCCTCTTCTGAGCCCAATCCCTCTCGTCCCTATTTCGTTCCTGTGGGCATACGGCAAGACGGATTATTTGATGGAAAGAAATTGGCTTGGAGAGAAACAGGTTGCAAGCAGTCTATGCTTCTAAGACATAATGGACTAAGTATAACTCTTTCATTGCTAACAAAAACTGACAATATCACTGAGTAGCGAATCCTCAATAACAGAATGATTTGTATTAATTAGTGTAATGTAGCACTCTGAGAATCCATCCATGCCATCACTAGTTAAAGTCGCTCTCTCGGTGTAAAAGGTTTCATTTGTGTGAACACACCACAGATTTTTATTTCCAGACTCCAAAGACTGAAGTATTAGCTCGCACAGCCAGAAGCCTTCTGCTAAAGCATAACAGTACTATGAACATACAATATATATACTATTACTCAATAGCTCCCATGTATGGAGACATTAAACGTCGCGAACCAAAACTGAAGTTAAAGCCATTTCGTATACAGCTTTGAATGCCATCAATTTACTATGACAGAACTTCCCCAATGAGCATGATCAATTGTATCTTACTTGCAGACATCTTAGGTGACCTGAGCGCCTCCGGGGAAGCAACGTCCGGTACAGGTTACCAAGGAGAAAGTCAAGACAACGCACACAGAGTAATACCAGAAGTTGGCGAAGATTTTGAGGGCATCACAGAGAAAGAAAAGAGTTCTAAGCACATCGGTGAGAGAACAGATCATAAAGATGAAAACGAGAGTCTGTCAGGATCAGGTGAAGAACAGGACGGCCCTATTTTTCGTGGAACGGCAACCAAAAAAGCAGAGTCTCGATTTCATGGTGAGGTCGAACAGCAAGGCGAGTCAGGTGATCAGCAGCCTATTTCCGGTTCCGGTATTAATCCTACTGGCGCTAATTTTTGGGCTGTTGTTAGAATTGAACCTGAGTCAGTCAACGGAGGAAGCAAACGAGAGCACCAACTAAATCGTAGATCTGATACATTCATTCCTCAGGAGGCGACAGAAGGCAGTGCGTCCGGTATGGACACTTCCGGTGAGATTCCAAGTCGGAAAAACCAGATTCCAGTTGAAAGTTTCTCAGGCCAGGATGTAACTTCTGGAGAAAATAATGTCAATCAAAGAGATCAAGTTGCGACCACAAGTTCCTCCAAGGAGAATGCCGTTTCTGGCGAAGACGACGCACCGTTCGAGAGTTCCTCCACTGAATCAGAATTAGACTCGGGTTGCTCCTCCGGTGAAGGATGTTTTGAATCTGATGGTGTTCAGGAAGAACAGGGCGGGCAAAGTAATTCACGATCAGTCATCGCCAAGCTTGAGGTAGATGCAATTGCTTCTGGAAGTGCAAGTAATTCTGGTGATTCGTCAGATGATGTCTCGCTTCATCCACATTTCGATGTTCTAGCTGGTCCTTATGATGATAAAACGCCTACTTCCGGAGGCGCTCCGTTGAGTTCCGGTTCCGGAAGTGAACTTGGTAATGTTTTACACAATATCGAAGACGCCATTTTCGAGAAAGGTGAACCTTTAGAGATTAGCCGCGATGCTTCTTCCGGTTCTGGACTTTCAAGTGTTGCACATACTGACAATCAGAATGACTTTGCGACATCTGGTTCAGGGTCTGGTACCGTCGACAAGGAGGAAAATCAAGAGGTATTTGTAACTCCGCAAAACCACACTGAGAAGATCAGCCTTATGGAAAAGATGATGAAGGTGGGAAAGCTGCAAGCGTTTGGGATCTCTCACGTGGCTAATGTTGGGGGTACAAGCAGGAACAAAGTACCTAGCCTTGAGTCAGCAGTGCAGTCAGATTTAGGTAAGCGGAGTACGCTCTACGCGCGCCTGCGTGGGAGGCTAGCTTTTTTGTGGATGAAGTCTTATTCCCCAAAAAAGAGAGTGTCTGGCAAATTGTTTCCAATCAAATATTTGTGAACTCGTGTCTGGCAAACTCCCCGAGTGTTTATATCTAAACAGTTATACGCACCTTACAACTTCATCTGCGCTTAACGAATGTCTTTTGATCCATAACTTTCAAAACAGCTGCTCCACAGAATGTAACTTACAACACGTAACGCAAATGAGTATCGAAGTATGGCTGCACAATAAATGTCACAAAACCTACCTAAGCGGTCCCTTCGGGATTTTCTGTTTTACGTCATGCTAACCATCTCTCACTTGCGGGCGCGACTAATAGAAACGTCATTATTGCCCAACGATTCCCCCCTGCCCCTTTTCAAGCAAATCGAGATTTTTTCTGGCATGCTGACTGTATATTTCAACTGTAAGTACTTTCCTTAATATACGCGCTAGCTACTAGAGTGCCTCCTGCGGGGTCAGCTAATTTTTTGGTTTAACTTGGCCAAGAGAACTCAACCACTCAATTCTAAATAGTCACTGAATCGTGAACTGATTAGCAGAATTCTAATGGGTGCATATTTGAAATTAGGAATTTACTTCTGGGAAGTCCTCTGCACCGAGAGAAAAAACAACTTTGTTTCGGGACTGACAAGTAGGAAAGAGGAGCTAATCTGTCACTGAAATCTATTAAAGATCGATTTCATTTATATTACAGTGATAATGTTGGCACAGTATATTTGATTGATGTTGACTCTCCAGCCTGCGATTTGTGCTCTATCTCCTTGCTTCATTTGGAACGACCGACTAATTCATTTAATTTCGTATACAACGTTTATGATCCACAGGAAAAGGAGAGAAAGTATCAATTATCTTAAATCAAGATTTCCACGATGGATATGCAAATGAGAATTCCGCGGCTTATGAAATTCTCGCCAACAGTGTCAAAAAAGAGGTAAGATGCCAAGAGCGACTAGGTAGATCACTAAGAAACTCATCACTCAGCGAAATTATGCACAGCTATCACTGAAGTCAATATTTTCAACCGTTTAATGCGCAAGCCTTCAATAGTAACCTCCTTTCACTGTAGTTCAAAGTAGCGTTTTATTTGTTAAAACTCAAGCATACCATAAATCCTCTATTAAGCTCCTCCTCTCTCTAATAAGTCCTCCTCTTTTCAGGGGAGGAATGATATTACCCCCCTCCTCCTCTCCCCTTTTTTGTTAAGTAATGAAGTGTATTAATCCCGATCACGACTCCAACACTTCAGGTGGACTGGATGGTCGGATTTGTCAGTTTTTGATCTTCGGCTACATTGCCTCCACTTTCATGCTATGCTTGAGCTTTTCCACTTCGCTTTCTTGATTGTATGGAGAATTGATGTCATCATTTTTGCATTCACACCAAAGGTTAAACATGTTTAAAAGCTGTTTCGTTAAACACAGTTTAAATTTGTTTTCTTCGTAGAAGTAGCTTACTGTACTTTTATTGATTGCAAATTTTGTGCAATTACATAAGGTGTTTAATTTTATTTGAATTCTGTGTGGAAGCCTGCGTTCCAGTTTTCGGTTACTTATTTTCATTTGGTGAAACCTACAATTGTAGTTCATTTCAAAAACATATTTAGTTGGTGTGAATGGGGTAAATTAAATAACTTCTCCCCCCCCCTCCATAACGTGCTTGACGTAAATAAGCCCCCTCGGGGGCTTAATAATAGAGGATTTAGACCGTATATGGCAGTCTGGTGAGAACGGGAATTTTTTGAAAAAGTCAGTGATGCCATAGCTCACGCCTTTTAACAAACAATTTGTGTTGCCTGTAGCTAACCTTTAAACTTTTTTGGCAGGTTGAAAAAGTTCTAGGAAGTAACGCAGTGGTTTCTGAAATTTCCTTTTCGTAAGTATCACTTCGACGTCGATGATAACAAATGTTGTAGCCTGCAATACATTGCTTGCTCCTCGCCGTTTGGGACGTTTCGCCAGGCGAGGAGAAACGGCGCTGTATTTACAGGCTACTAGTGTTGGAACTTCATTCAGGCAGCCTGCATGTATACCAGCTTGAATAATGACTGGTACTGAATAGGCCATCTGCACGATGACGTCATTTGACTACTAAGACCAGAATCCTTCAGGGTTTTGCTTTGTTGTGTAAATTAGGGGTCTTGTTATTTAAACCTCGCTGGGATTTCCAAATTTGAATATGAACTGAAAAACGAAAAGGATTCTGGTCATAGTAGTAAAATGACGCCATCATGCAAATGGACTGTTCAAAGTAAAAATGCAACATTTCATTCTCCTCTTTATCAACAGGGAAATCCGAGAACCAAGACAATCACCAAGCTTTTCCAAGGTTATGACGACATTTAAACTTCTTGGTGACACCAAAAAATTGGAAAAGGCGGTAAAGAAGGGAACAATAAACAGTTTGGTCGTGGACAAGAAATTTTTTCACGCAAGTTGAAAAGTTGGCAACTCAGTAATCTACCATGCTTTACAATGTTTTATACGGATCAGATGAGAGAGCAGCGATAATAAACATTTTTTATTTCCATGTTTTATATAATTAAACACACTATGACGGCTGAAATTTTAAAACAGGAATAATCGGAATTGACTGTCGACGCTTGATAGAAAGTTATCCTGAGTTGTTTTGGTACATGTACGATAAAATAAACAGTGGAATTCTACGCTGTGCGATTCATAGTGGGGTAAAAATAAAATCGTGCCTAGTCTGTTTTTTAAGCCAATCAGAGGTAAATAAAATTTAATAAATCGTGAAAGAATCGTATCTGCCTTTTTCTTTCTTTCTTTTTTTTTTGCCGCCGCGCTCACTTTGCAACGGCAATATTTTATTGTTTTGATGCATTCTGACTGTTTCATTGGATATGTCTGTTGTGAATGCCAAAAAGGTGTTTGCCTTTAATTAAGCTTAATTTTTGCTGGATGACTTCGTAAAACATTTGAAGCTCGAAGATGTTTTGAACTGGAGAGATTTTATCGACTTTTATCGATTTTGATCGAGACGTAGTCTGAATATCATCCCTGAGAAATAAGAAAAATAACGTAAATTTCATGTTTAAGACTGGAAACATATGTAACTATTTGACGTCAGCTCTAACATCTTATATAAGTTTTATTTGAAAATAAAGTTATTAGCTAAAGGGACATTTGCCTTTTAATAGTCGTTCTTGACATTGAAGATCATAATCACTGATCGTCAGTGAATAACCCTCTCATGCTGAGAGAGGCCCATGTAAAATCGAGTAAATGAGTATAGTTTTTCTCTCACTGGGGTCTGCCATTCACTACTGGTTCTTTTAAATCTTTCTACAGCCTCGTCCCCGTGTGAAATTAGGATCCAGGGCGGGGGGGGCGGCCCCCCCTTATTTGGCAGACCAAACTGAGGCCCGAAGGGCTGATAAATTTTTTTTGGAGACCGCCCCCGCTTATCTAAGGGTCTAGATGACCGCCCCCCCTTATCTCAAGGTCTGGATCCGGCACTAGTTTTCTCAGGCTACCATCCAAACATTTGACCCTTTTTGAACCCGTATGGAAATTTTAGTTTAGCTAGAGAAGAGTTAAAAAAAGTTGGGCTTAAGGCACTTTATAGACTAAGAAAAGAGATGGGTGACAACTTTAGAGAAAATATTATGCTGACGATTAAGCTATTCGATGCTCTGATATCCCCCATACTTCTCTACGGAAGTGAAATTTGGGGTGTTGACTGTAACGACCAAATAGAAAAAGATCCCGCAGAATTAGTTCAAATTAAATTCTTGAAATGGTTGCTAGGTGTAAATAAATACTGCAGCAACAATGCATGTAGGGCTGAAACAGGAAAATTCCCAATAAAAATCGAAGCACAGTACAGGAATTTTAAGTTTTGGCTAACTCTAACCAAACACCCAAAACACAAATTATCACAGGTGGTTTATAATGATATGAAGTGGAGGATGAATAAGGAATTATGGGGCCAAAAAATCAAACGCGTATTAGACCAAATAGGGCTGGGATACCTCTGGACAAAAGCACATGAAAATGACATAGGAATCTTGAACATTATCAAACAAAGACTGAAAGACATCGAATTACAAAGATGGTTAAGTGACGTACACAATGACGTAAGAAAAGACGCCAACCAAAAGAACAAACTAAGAACCTTCCGAAAATTTAAAACAATAGAAAATTATAAATATGAAGATTATCTCCGTCTGGTCACCAACATCCGACACCGGATAACTCTAACTAAACTTTGTCTAAGTAATCACAAATTGGCGGTAGAGACAGGTCGGTATGTAAGACCTTATAAGAAACCGGAAGAGAGGATCTGTCCTATCTGTAAAAAAGACGTAGAAGATGAAATACACTTTTTAACTCTGTGCCCTGCGTATCAAGAAAAAAGAAGTACTTTATTTGAATACTTAAACGAAGAATACAGAATATCAATAAACAGAATGGCACCAGATGATCCGGGCAGATGATGTTTTTCTGTTGTTAATAAACCCTCCGAGCAAGAACAAACCAGTGCAAAAGTTAATTGCAAAATACGTATTCGACTGCTATGAGAAAAGAAGATCATAAGTTGTTTAGTATAGGTTAACATTGATTATAAATCCACTAGTGTGCAATTTGTGTTATGATTTTAAATTATTTGGATAAAGTCGATGTACATATGACTGTATAAGACTCCAAATAAAGCATTGTCATTGTCATTGTCATATTTCTTTACCGCATATCCTCATCAGCTATTGGAGTACAAGTATCACGCAACCCTGACGGTTTCTCCGTTTAACATTCATTTACCATCCATAACGCCCAGTGTTAAGACAAGTTATCGAACAATTTTATGACTCTGATTTGTATAAGCAATTTTTCAAACAACCCACCCCCACCCCCCCCTCCCCGCTACAACACCCCTGTCCAACCGGCGTCGATCACGGAGCTTCTCTCTTCCCGTTCGACAAAGCTGCATCTATTTTTGTTTGTTTTTTGGTTGTTTTTCTCTTGCAGCCTTTATAAAAAACAGCAGTTTCATTGTTGGTAGAAGAGCTACAAAACCCTGCCACCTAGGCATCAGATGTTTTATCCATGGGTTTTCACCGAGCCGAGTCCCCGAATTTTCCTCGTCTTGTCTCGCTCGGTACCAGGTACACAAAAACCTTAGACACGTGATCAAAACAGGAGTCATGGCGGTGGAGAATCGGTGACAAAAGTTATGTAGGTCATCAGTTCGTTGGCTCTGATTATTTGTAAGACAAAATGCACTTTTCAGTTCCTGATACTGTTGAGCTTACAGACAAGAGTGGATCAAAGTATCTGGTCAGTATTCAGCTCGCTAGCGATAAAAATTCATTTGATGCACGGTTTAAAACTCATTGATCCTGCCTGGTACCAAATAATTTGCTTCTATACATTGTTATGCTTTTTCTATCCAAGGGATCTCAAGTTCAGTTTTACCAACAGCCAAAACAAATTGATTTCTATAAAGTTTGGTTTTTACGCAAAAGGCGGTATTTTTAACTCCTTAATGTCAACAGAAGGCAGGGCTTTCTCAGTTTCCTTAAATGTCGTAATTAACATAAGCTTATAGTATTACCATTGACCTTGCAGAAGTTTGTTAAAAAAACTTTAAGTTAAGTTAAGTTAAGTTAAGTTAAAAACTCACAATATGAAGCACTAAATAGTACTCTGAAGTACCATTGAGTAGCTTTTGTTTCTTGGCGTTATGGAATGATTACTTTGTTTCTGTTAATTATGAAGACGATGTTAGTGCGTTTTCAATCAGAACTGTTGTTCAAAGTTTGCGTATGTGCGCGAGCTGATATAAGTTGAGCTCGTGATTTTACTTGTATATTTCCATAGCACAATCCTTTCCTGGATCATTAAGGTTTCACACAGCTACTTTTGTGGGTTTTGCAGATTTCAAGGTCTGGACTTGATTTAAACATAAAAATGTGCATGTTGTTTATTTGCATTTTCTTTGAGGTTATTTTCTAATTCTGTCTTTGGGGTGACTCCATATCAAGTACTTTTGCCCTCATGTTGTTCAAAGTTTAACAGTCACCCTGCTCCGGCTCTCTATTAGGTGGAGGGGGACGTTGGGGATTTAGGTGTTGTGCATGGTGTTGGTCACTTATTTGTATGGTATTTTGGTCAAATATTAACAATATTATTGGATGAGGTTGAGCAAAATATTGTGCTTTTTTCAGTGGCAAGCAGATCAATTGAACGTTTGAGCAAATAATTGATCTGCGAGACAAATCACCCTACTTTGTGATAACTGAGTTCAATGATATTATTGATCTATCATTCCATCATCAAGTTTCTTCTGTTCATGAATTTCTTTGGAATGTGAATTGATCTCCCACTTTAACGCAAGAGCGATCACAATAAGGAGAAAAGTGTGGTTTCATTTATGCTTGAGCAGAATATTATTTGCAGCCAAACACAGTTGGACGACATTGTGCATGAGCAGAGGTTTATTTGTAGGCAGTTCTTTGCAGGTTATGTGGTGGGCTCTCGGCCAGTGAAAAGGAAGAAAAATTTGCATTGAATGATAAAATCCCTTCTTGAGGTATTGTGGTGGTCTCAATCTGTACAGTGTGCGATGTTTCTATTTTTAAACCTTTGGTGTTCAAAAAAGTGAAATTATCTGCAGTGTTACAGTTTCCTGTTTGCCCTTGTCAGAACCAAATTTAGCTTTGTATCTGTCCTTGTTTATTGTGTACTACCACTCTAATTTTTAACTGCTTGTCCCCACCGAATGTTGCATCCTGGACCGCACAACAGAAACTGTCTCAGTCAATTGCCAATCTTCCAACTCCTGCTAGTGACATGTCAAAAACATCCTGTATGTCCATTCCCCATGGCCTTCTTGGTCTTCCTCTTTGTCTTTTCCCATCTATCTTTCTAATCAATTGATATGAACTAAACAAAATTATTGGAATGTTGGGGGGGACATGGGGGTTTACGGTATTGTGGTATTAAGCTTTTTTTCAGGTGGTATTTTGGTAATTTTCATTTTAATGTGCAGTATTGCAATATCATCTAGCCCTGTGGTATGCTGTTTTTCATCCTTTTAATTAACAGTATTNTGGTCACTTATTTGTATGGTATTTTGGTGAAAATTATATTAACAATATTATTGGATGAGGTTAAGCAAAATATTGTGCTTTTTTCAGTGGCAAGCAGATCAATTGAACGTTTGAGCAAATAATTGATCTGCGAGACAAATCACCTTAATTTGTGATAACTGAGTTCAATGATATTATTGACTTATCATTCGATCATCAAGTTTCTTCTGTTCATGAATTTCTTTGGAATGTGAATTGATCTCCCACTTTAACGCAAGAGCGATCACAATAAGGAGAAAAGTGTGGTTTCATTTATGCTTGAGCAGAATATTATTTGCAGCCAAACACAGTTGGACGACATTGTGCATGAGCGGAGGTTTATTTGTATAAAATTTGCATTGAATGATAAAATCCCTTCTTGAGGTATTGTGGTGGTCTCAATCTGTACAGTGTGCGATGTTTCTATTTTTAAACCTTTGGTGTTCAAAAAAGTGAAATTCTCTGCAGTGTTACAGTTTCCTGTTTGCCCTTGTCAGAACCAATTTTAGCTTTGTATCTGTCCTTATTTATTGTGTACTACCACTCTAATTTTTAACTGCTTGTCCCCACCGAATGTTGCATCCTTGACCGCACAGCAGAAACTGTCTCAGTCAATTGCCAATCTTTCAACTCCTGTTAGTGGCATGTCAAAAACATCCTGTATGTCCATTCCCCATGGCCTTCTTGGTCGTCCTCTTTCTCTTTTCCCATCTATCTTTCTAATCAATTGATATGAACTAAACAACATTATTGGAATGTTGCGGGGGACATGGGGGTTTACCGTATTGTGGTATTAAGCTTTTTTTCAGGTGGTATTTTGGTAATTTTCATTTTAATGTGCAGTATTGCAATATCATCTAGCCCTGTGGTATGCTGTTTTTCATCCTTTTAATTAACAGTATTCTGTAAAAGAAGATCCTTCACGGTATTGTGGTACCATTCATTTGCACTCTCCTGTCTAATACAGGTCAACACATCATTCAGCACCAACCACAGTAAGCTAAACATGTTAATAAAAGTTAATATTTTAAGACTTTAGACTTAATGGTAAATGATTACACAATCTATGATGAAATTGGAAGGGCATCCAATGACCGGGCTTTTCGATTGTTGTACTGATCAAATTCGAGGTCTTATTAATTCTGACGTTTTCTAGCAATGTCTGAGGTTGATTTCTGGTGCATACATGCTTGAGGCAAACAAACACATGGGATGGATACAGCTTTAAGTAAACGTGACCAGTCATTAAAAATGCGTTAATCAGTATTTCATTGATTTTCGACATGCTATTTTGGTATTTGACAATTTTTCTTACAGTGTTGCAGTACTGGGTACCCCCCAATGCAGGGGCAGATCTAGGGGGAGGGTGCAGGGGGTGCGCACCCCCCCCCTGAGATGACCTGCGGTTTTCAACTGATATTCTGCCAAAAATTAAATATGTGGTTTATTGGTGTTGAAGTAGAGCAAGAGACGAGTGCACCCCCTCCTAAAAAAGATCCTGGATCCGCCCCTGCAATGTCCCGCTCAATATTTAATACTTTTTAATCCTTTAATACGACTTGAAGCAAAATAATGTCCTTTAAAAACATGGTCTTATTGTAGGCGAGAGCCCTTCCACATGGTTGCTAAAATATGATGATCAGTCAGTGGTGACNTTAATTCTGACATTTTCTAGCAATGTCTGAGGTTGATTTCTGGTGCATACATGCTTGAGGCAAACAAACACATGGGATGGATACAGCTTTAAGTAAACGTGACCAGTCATTAAAAATGCGTTAATCGGTATTTCATTGATTTTCGACACGCTATTTTGGTATTTGACAATTTTTCTTACGGTATTGCAGTACTGGGTACCCCCCAATGTCCCACTCAATATTTAATACTTTTTAATCCTTTAATACGACTTGAAGCAAAATAATGTCCTTTAAAAACATGGTCTTATTGTAGGCGAGAGCCCTTCCACATGGTTGCTAAAATATGATGATCAGTCAGTGGTGACTAAGCATAGATGTAGTTGAGAGCCAAATGTTTTAATGTATTTTGAGTTTCCTAATGCTCTCCAGCCTCAGAATTTGAAAGGTTTTATAGGTGGCTTAATGGAGGTACACTAGTGAGTATTTTTACTGGTTTTTAAAGTAGAAGAGTGCCCATCTTTGAGTAGGTAGGAAAAGTTGGTTCGTGAGTCAGCTTCTTCATTTTGCATTGCTTAAAGGCAGGTACTGTGTTCAGAGTACACTGGTGCCAGTACTTGGGTTCTGGCTTCTAAGGAAACCCTTGAACTAAAGTAGCTTATGTCATTCCAGTCACTTGTAATGTATCAATAGCCAGTTTCCAATCCTCTATCAGTCGAAGCAGAGATGTTTCGCAGCCATGTTTCTTCCTGTACTCTGTCATTTTTGAGTACAGAGTTTTGTTACGGTGGTATATCACCTGGTGACTTAATAACTGTTCATTCAACTATCTTGTCAACTGCTGTAAGGGAAGTAATAGTGGTTGCGATAGTTTTTTGCATCTTGTCTATCTCCCTTCTTAAAGGCAGGTGTCCATTCACCCATTTTCCATGAAATCAGCCATTCACTCTTCTCTATTACTATACATTGTAAAGGTTGGTCAGCAATATTGCTGTTCCCTTAGCCACATTCTTAAGAGGTTGTGGTGAGATCCAGGAGTCCCATCCACCAGATTTCTTTGAGTTGATCTTTTCAAGTGCTTGGTGCACTTCAACCACAGTTACATGTTGTAGTAATTTAAAATCAATATTGCTTTCTTTATAAACTTCTCATATGCTTTTAACTGACTGTCATGTTCACTGTGAGATTCCTCGGTCAGACTACTGACATGATCTCCAATATTTAATGCCGTGTTGGTAAAATAATTGGCCAGCATTTCTGCCACTTCATTTTGATCCTTTTTGACATTGTTCTCCTCAGTTTTTAGGTGTATTGCTCTAGATCTCTTCCCTTTGTTGCTGCAGATAAAAGGTTTGAAAGTGTCATAGAACTTATCCGGTCAATGTTCTTCTGTCTACTTGTTTAAGGAACATATTAATTGCGAAAAACACAAGAGAAACACAGCTGTTTCTGATCCAACTCACCTACACTTCTGACTAAAGAGCAAGTCAGATAGCTAGTATCTGTGGTTGTTTCACAGAATGTTTTAAAAAGAGACCAACCTCAACCATGCATTGTGTTGGTAAACTAGTATGCAAAATGCACTGATTGCTGTTTGGTACTTCAATAAAGTAAATTTTATAAATTTTAGAAAACTTACTTTGCAGTCAAAACGTATGAATGACAGATGATATTTAAGTAGTTTTTTCACTTTAACAGTATTTGCATTGAGCTTTAATTTACACAAGGTGGTTCAACGATGAGTGTCCGCAATCCTTTTGTAAGAGTTTACTTTAAAACACGAATCATGTGTTAGTGATTTCAGTTGTTTATCCAGCAATAAAGGGTTTGTTTTGACCTCAGCATTTTAATGTCTAATTTCTCTTCTACCACAGGCCTATAATATCTACATCAATGGCTCATATCATTGTGGTGTTAGATTCTCTGATTTGTATCAGTTCAGTGAGCAGGTAGGTACAGCCTGCCTGATGACATCCTTTTTGTCATTGATCAATTAACCATTGTGATCAATTAACAAATTGACTGCCTGCATGTGGCTCGTGGATCCACAACACTTTGGCAATGTTATGACATAATTTTATCATCAGTTAAAATACTGGTGTCAATTTGTTTTTGACAATAACAAAAGCTTGAAAAAGTCAAATTGCCAGTAAAAATGAAGAAAACACAACAAAATTTATGACTCTTTTAAACTAGCTAAATGTTATTGTCAGTATGTTTTCTTGCTTGGTGATTGGCTATGAAAGACAATTATCGTTACAGAGTTTCATTTGCTAAAAGTATGATAGGTTGACTCACGCCACTGCCTTGCGTAAATTAGGAATTGAATTGTTTTCCAAACTTTAGAACAAGAAATAAGATCAGCAATGTTTTTTGTCTTGAAAAATGGAGGTACAGTATAAAGTTGTAAACTATTCCAGTAGACAGAAACTACGGAACTAAGCAAAAACATGGAAGTTCTGCATGACTGCGTCTTGCATAAATAAAATTTTTGTGTCTGTCCTCTTATTGATCATGAAAATTAGCCAATCAGCACGCAAGAAACAATACAGTTTTTGTAAAAAGTATTATTGATACTATAATTATTGTTCTATAAAGTAATGGGACAATGTTCTGACATTTTGACGACATCATAACGCCATCATCAAGGAATAGAAATAAAAATGCGAGTTCAAAAGGTGTTAAAATACTGTAAATTTGCTTGAATGAAAACAGCTAAACAAAGACCTTAGCACTGATTGAATCCATTTGCATGTTCAAGGCCAGTCTTAATAGTTTGATGTAAAGCATTTCATTAACGAGGCAGTCAAATTTGTCTTTGCATTTTTTCAGCACTCTAAAGCAGCTGAATAGGTCCTCAGGGATGGCAACTGTGTGGTCTTTAACTGTTTCCTTCATGCAAATTTAGAGTACTTTAACTTCTTTTGTACTTGCATTTTTATTTCTCTTCCTAGATAATGTCGTCATGATGTCGCCAAAATGTCAGAACATTGTCACGTTACTTTTTACATGTTTATAAATATTGTTGTTATTATTATTAAATTGCACTTCAGTGAGACTGAAATAATAAGAATAATTTTGAATAATTCTTGTAGGAATTTATTTGGGTTACATTAGCATCCACTTTACTGATCGGGGTTAAACCTTCCTTTAGACCTTTACATTTTTAACAATAATTTTATTACATCTTTTCCACTCTGGGTTGAAACCTTTAGCTACTGTGATGGTTATTAAAGTTTTATTATTACACTGCAAAATCAACAAGAGTAGTCTATTCAAATGTTGATTAATCAATGCCTAAACTTGTTCCATAGCTGCGTAAAGCATTTGGCCCTAGAATCACAGCTAAGTTTCCTCCAAGAAAGTTGCTTTCTTTGACACCTGTACAAGTTGAAGAGAGACGGGAACAGCTGGAAAAATACTTACAAGAAGTTTGTCAGGATCATGCGATTACCTTGAGTTCTCTCTTTACAGGATTCTTTCTTAATGCTCAAAAGGTTTGTTTCAAATTTAGTATGAATACGCAGGAGCAAAGGGGGTGGGGAGTTGGCAATATCACTTGATATGTTGATCTGCAGATTATTTCTTCAACTCACCACTAGACAATACCCTGATTTTTGCAGCTTGCTAAAATAATCTGATGAAAAAAACAAAAAACTAAAACAAAAACTTGCTTACAGGACTTTCCAAGATGTTACTTAAGTCGGGATTCTGATGAGACATTTTAACAGATTTGTGGATGATTCAGCCTGTTATTATTTTCTGAACTTCAGGTTTACATTGTCATAACGTTACTCTGAATTAAATGCCGTCCCAGTGGAGAGATTTATGAAATGAAAGACCTAAACATTGTTTCGCTTCTATACAAAATGTCTGCATAGCCCAATGTTATTGATCTAGAAGCTAGCTTATACTCTAGAGGGTAATAAATCCATGAGAAATTGACTTTCCTGAGAATGCCTAATTGAAAGAGTCTTGTTGTTTTGGTTGTTTTCTTCAAGGAATCTTTAAAGGCATCCTCAGAGAGTGTTCAGCTTGATATTTATTTGATGAATGGTCAAAAGGTGGCGTTGAATATTCAGTCTACTGACAGAACGGATGATGTGCTAGAGGTGAGAGGCTTTGTTGATGAACTGCCTCATAATTACTGTATCTTGCTATTCTCGTCTCTCTCCTACTTTGCTTGTTGAAATTTGATTAGTGCAGCAGTCACATTAGTCAGTGATTCTATCAGTCAGATCAGCAAGTCATAATAGGTTACCAGCTAATCAGTCATCCATCCAGTCAGTTGTGAGTCATTCCCACCAGTCCGACACTCTTGAAACCAAAGAATTGTTTCAAGAGTGTGTAAATTGCTGTCATTTATTTATTTGGTCAGCTGGCTAGCTTGTCAGCTGTCGAGTCAGCAACTGATCACTTCATACTACATGTATTTTAAGTAAATTTGTCTCTCCGGGGACCATGCCAGTCAAGTTGGTCAGTCAGGCCAAGCCATACGAGTTAATCATTAAGACAAGTCATTTGGTCAGCTGGTCAGTCAGTCAGTCAGTCAGTCGTACTGGTTAGTCAGACAAGTCATTTGGCCAGTTGTTCCATGATATTTGTCAATCAGTCAGTCATGCAGTCAGCCAGCCAGCTGCAGTCAGATCAGTCTTTTGATATCAAATCTGTCACTCAAGTAAACAAGTCTTCCATTCAGCCAATCAGGTCATTTACATCGTTGTTTGTAGCCTGTCAGTTGGTTAGGTCGGCTAGTCTTGTCAGTCTGTCCATCAGTCAGTCAGTCACTCAGCTATGAAAGTGAGTGAGTGGGTCAGTCAGTCAGTCAGGTCACTCAGCGATGCAATTAGGTCAGTCAGTCAGTCAGTCTTATTATGACCACCAGATCAGAGAGCTGTCATCAAGTCAATTCAGTTAACTAGGTGTAATCAGCTAGTAAGCCAGTCAGTAAAGGTGTCAGTCAATCAGCTATCCATCAAGTACTTTGGTTGGTCGATAATAGTTAAAATGGCAAATCAAGGTAGATTAACAGAGAGGTAGTTAAGCCAGTCAGTCTGTCAGTCGGACACAAGTCATAGGTTTTTTATTGAGGTAGAAAATAAATCTGTTAGGCTGTTCTTAGCCATCGTATCAGGAGAGCAGTTGAACAGTGATGCAAGTAGTCAAGCTACAATGTACACGTAGTCTGTTGAATCAATCAGTCAAGTCAAGTCCACAAGTCAGATAATATTAAGTATTGTGAGTCATGCCAGAGGATCATTGTGTTGACCAGTCAGTCAAGTAGGTAGAGCAGATCCTTTGAGCCTGTCATTATTTGAGTATTATGTAAATAACAGGGCTGTCGCTAGCCCCATCATGGCTGGTAATTTCCTGTGGCTATTATGAGGATGACGTGCAGCAAATTTCACAGGAAATAAAAGGGAAATGGAACCAAAAGAACTTCCTTGCTGTTCAATTCCCTACCTATGCAAAAAAACGTTAACTGGAAATCTTATAGTGACAGCCCTACGTGTACATGTAAATAATCAGTCAACTTGATGAATGTTTACTGTATATGTACCTGTTTGAATCAACCAGTCTTTCATTGTTACTTTGTCAGTAAGACAATCAAGAAAAAGTTTTTCTGTGACTTTTTCTCAGGCACTGATGACAGAAATTGATCTTAATGAGGAACTTGTTTATTACTTTGGTCTTTTTCTGATCAAAAGAGCAGATGATGGTGAAGCTACGAGTGAGTAAATTTACATGTACTTGACTTTTTCACTCTCTGAAGTGATCTGTGCAGAACTAAAAATATGTGATCTTATTGAGTTATCATTTATGTTCTTTTAGTTGTGAGAAAATTTCAAGAGTTGGAAGCACCCTATTTGACACTGAAGCAACAGTCAGGAACTTGTCGTGTAGCTGTCAGGAAAACGTAGGTCTAAACTAATACTAAGTCACTGATTTTAAAAAAATAAAAAATAATGTGCTCTGTTAAAACCAACTTTGGTATTCGTAACTGTCAAAAGTTAATATTTTCTTGTTTTACTAAATGTATTTAAAAGCCACATGTACAGTGCTAAAGGTCACCTGAACTTCCACTATCATGATCACACTATCTTTCTACAAAACATTGTGTGCAGTTTTTGTTTGGGTGATTTTGTAGATCAGTGTTCATTGATATCATTTTCAGTGCAGCTAATTTACTCTTTAAAAACTAACATTACTTTGGTTTGAAAGATCAAGTTTCAGTATGACAATACACTGTAGCTCAATTTCCAGCGAATAAGTTGTCTTGTGAGCCATTGAAATGGTGATTTGGTTTACAACGGACAAAAAATTCCTTCTAGGGGTAGCTGACATGTTGAAGATAGATGTTTCAGTTGTTTTTCATGTCACTGATTTTTCTACTTTTCAGCCTGTGGGATGCAAAAATTGAGGATAAGATAGTTCAAGACCGAATAGGAATGAATCTTTTGTATGTCCAGGTAAACTTAACAGATTTTATCATTGTGGTGAAGTGGGATGGTCTACAAGTTTTGAAATGTGTACTGAGACTGTTTAAGACCTAAAGTATGTGTACGAACAAGATTAGTGAAATGGCTTCTAATATAACAATATACTTTGGTTTTATTTCACAGCTAGTTGCATAATCGACAAGAAATCTCGCAATTAAAGTTCAATAACGTGTTCAAAACAACAAAATTTTAACTGCTAAAAGGCTGCTTTATGTTGTTTTGCAAGTCAGTTCTATGTGACTCCCTCAATGGTTCCAACCCTAAATTTAAAAGAAATTGTTCAGAGGCTTAAAAATAATCTACTCTCAAATTTTATAATTTTGTGCATAGATGTGGTTAGATGTAATTTATATAAGCTTAAAGTCAAACGCGAAACAATGCTGATCAGTAGCCTTCCATGTCACAGGCATGCGGAGTGGTCAGGGGTCTGGGGGGGTTATGGGGTTTTACTGCTCTGCCGTTGAGGTCAACTCATTTGAGATCACGGGAGCTTTGCCTGTTTCGATTGTGCTCGGCAATTTAGCTCCCTGCCCTCCCTCCCACTCTGTGGTAAGTATGAGGTAACAGTATTGTTGTTAGAGATATCTGCCTACAAGAGTGTCCATAAGGAAATCTTGCACTGTATTTAATAATAATATTTAAGTTTTTACGTTGTACAGGCTGTCAGTGATCTGGACAAAGGATGGTCATTTGGCCCAAAGGAAGCCCATAGCAAACTAGCACAACTCAAACAGAAAGGTGCCAAACTTGAGGTAAGCTATTTTGTTTATGATTTCTAATAAAGGATAGCATAATTTAATTTAGAACTATAATCAAGTTGTAAGTTAACACCTGTCTTCTGACTAGTGGCACCAGCTGGTCCCTGGTGGCTTCTTTTGTCTTTTATGGTCTTTCACAGAACTCAATATATACTTGTTATACTGGATTTTAAAGGTTGGAGCTTTTGTGTTCTTACAATTTTTCTCAGCCTTTAACAATACTTTTCAGTTCAGTAAATACAAACAAAAAAGTTAAGACAGGAAATTGAGCGATTGAGCAGAAACTAGTGTTGGGAATTGGCTGAGATTTCATCAGTGATTATTATTGCATCACTTTAATAAAGATTTTGATCGATGATTGATTAAGTAATCAATGATAGGCATGTCACAAGTGGTTGTGTATATTATGTTATGGTCCAGTTTTTATCCTTTGTTTAATGTATATTTTGCTTTGTCATGTCCTCATTATATATCATGCATTTATATTTATTTAATATGTTTAATAATACACATTCAATCAAGGATAATTTTGACCTGCAACATTTACACCAGCAGGCATTATAACTATATATAATAGCAGGTGTTATAACTATTACTGATGGTTAGTTAAAAAAAAATCGTATTGTTGAATTGAAGCGGTTTTGTCTTACTGATATCACATCCAGGAGATCAAAAAGTAATGTCTGTTTCTTCACTATGTTACAGGTCAAAATTAATTTCAGGTTAAATTTTTTTTCAACCTAGGTTGATTCTCAATTTCCTTTGTCTCCTAGCCCAGATAATTCATGAATTTAATTGAATTTAATTCTGTGATCTATTTTTTGATTTGTATCACAGTTCTTACAATTAGCCAGATCACTGAAATTCTATGGATACATGCAGTTCAAGCCCTGTACAACAAATTACCCTGAGGAAGACACAAGAGTTATTGTTAGCATTGGGGACAGAGAACTTAACTTTAGACTTCAAACTCCAGATGTAAGTTCTTGGATCCTCGTTATAAACACCCAGTAATATTTTTACTGTATATCCTCCAAATTTAAATCTGAAATGGATTCTGGTAGTATTAAAATGGAACATGGTGCAAACTTAATGGCCTATTTTAACCAGATTACTGCCTTTTCATGTTTTTGGGATAGTAATGTACTGAAAGGCTCAAATTATGTTCTATAAACCATCACCAGCAAACCGTCATAACAAAATCTGTTTTTGGTTTTTCTTTTGTTAAAAGCACAAAGTACAAGAAGGGAGCTTCAAGGTCACCAGAATGAGGTGTTGGAGAATAACGGCAACAGTGAGTTGTTCAATTTGTTGATTTAATTAATTATTATTGGCATTTAATTTTGCTGATGCATTGTAGGTGTATGTTGTACTAGTCAGGAATCTCAGGGGGTTGAGGTGTACAGGGGGCTGGGTTATCAGATTTCCATGTACCACAAGAACATCTTTTTGTATAGTTGAAACCCATGGTGCCCTACAAAAACTTCCTGTATACTGTATACCTAAAAACCATGGCTAAACCTGACTTAACCTTTTTACAGTGTGTTAGATATGCTTTGATCTTTCTCAGAGGAAGGCATCTCCCTCTTTCCCACATTTCTAGGAAATATCAATTGACTCTGTTATATAGCAGGTTAGCCTGTCTAGTCAATACTGAAAATGAAATGGTGTTAGGACCATTTGGTTGGTTGCAGTGAGTTATGTTTATTTTGCGTGACTATAGAGCGACATCAATGAGAATGGGGAAAAAGAGGAACATTTGGAGCTTGCATTTGAATACCTTCTAAGAAAAGATCAGATGCAATGGATAACAATCTACAGTGACCAGGTAAAAGACATAATTATTATATGTATATCGTAACTCCAACATCTTTGGGAAGGCTTGGGGACATGTCTCGAGAAAGCTTTTTTTCTTGGTTAGGTCAATAGACCACCTTTAGTTAGGTTATTTATTTCACTACAGAAAAAAAAAGACAAGAATACAGAAAGTACACAAAAGCAATGTGGTTAGGAAGCCCAAAAAGGAACCTTTCATATGCATAAGGCATCTTCTTTAAAAGATGAAGTTCATCATTGTTCCCTCAACGGCTTGTGCCAACTTACCAAGAGCCTCTATCAATCCCCTTTCCCACATATAAAAGAGTGAAAGATGGCACTGAATGGCAACAGGAATAAAAATGACAAAATTGGGCTGTACCACACCAAGTCTACTCTCTGCATGTTCACACTTGGCCGTTTGTTTTTTATTTACTATTTAAATAGGCAATTCTTATGAGCCTTTGTCTTCAAAGCATTGTGGATGAGATCCTTCGAATCAAACAAGGAAAACCAGTCAAAAGGGTAAGCAACTTTAAGTTTTTCCCTTACAATACACAAATAAATAGTTAGTAGTATGTACCTGTATAATTTTTTATATGTTAATTAGGTGAATGATTAGGTGTAGCATTGGTACTAAGGCCCTCCCCCGGTCGAAAGGTGAACCTCCCATCTGCGTCACATGTAGTGGGCATTTATATGAGAAAAAAATTGACCCCTTTGCCCGAGCCAAGGGCTCTTGTGCATTCTATAATTGTCTCGCCTTGACTGAGTTGACCTGGTTAGGTGAGCCAAATTGTTTATGGAGAAAAGTTGACCTGGCGAGAAGGGAGACCGTACCATCACAGAAAGGTTACCCGGGTAGCCGGGCCAACCTTCTAGCTCAGCCAACTTTTTGCGGTTTCTTATGTAAATGGTTTGCTAATGCCTATCCAATATGGTTTTGGAGGCAGGACAAAAGCTTTCCAGCTTTCCAGAGTATGAAAAGTTGGCTTGCCCATGGTAGCTCATCCTCGGAGACCCAGGGGCAGAGTGTGGGGGTGAGGGAAAGTGTAAACAGGCGGGAAAATATGGCACAAAGAAAAGTAAAGAACGGCTAGAAGAGCCCCTGGGAACAATGTCTTACCAGACCAGTTTCAAACAGTCGCCGCCGTTCTAGCTTCTGATTGGTGCGACTGGTCTGGTAAGACATTGTCCCCAGGTGCTCTTCTGGCCGTTCTTTACTTTTCTTCGTGCCTTATTTTTCCGCCCGTTTAGACTTTCCCTCCCCCCCACTATTTGCCCCTGGGTCTCCGAGGATGATGGTAGCTTGGATAGGCATGCAGTTGACTGTTCTAACATGGACAACTTTCCTCCAAATAAACCGGGCCTAACCAGATGGTGGGTAACACGGATGCAGAATCTAGGAAGTTGTCTGATTTTTTGCCAGTGCTGTGATCATGGTCAGTTAGATTAATTGGGATTGATTTGTTAATTATTGAAATAAAAACATATATTTTTTCAGCCGAAAGATCGCTCAAAAGCTAAAAATGCAGCTGCTCCAGATTTTCAGCGTAATAATTCCATCTCGTCAGAGGCATCAGCTGAGGTAGGTCACCAGGCCAACTGATTTTAAAATATAATATTGTTGTTGTTTGTTAATATTGCCTAAACAACCTTAAACTACTTAAAATTATCTAAGATGAATTAAAATAATTATCCTTAAAATATTACATACATGTAAGTCAAAGCAAAATACATTGATTTCTTTTTGTTTTCATTAGGGTGATACAGATCAAGAGAGCAAAGTTGTGAACAGTAAAAATAATAACTCTACCTCTCCATCAACAAGTCCACCAACTTCTCCAGGAAGAAAAGTTGCTTCCAGACAGGTATCAACGGTAATGTAAATCTCATTTCATTTTCTGTTTTCTTAAACAAACTGCCTGATCATAACTTGTTTGGAGAGCAAAGTTTCTTCTTTATAGCATGGAGAGAAATAGAGACATCTCACCTTGCAGCATTTCTACCTCAAAGTTGGGGTTCAAAGTTATGCATAATTTCAAGGCCACTTGTGGCATTGTTTTATTTCATGTTCCTCGTAAGTTGCTGTTAATGATTTGTGTGTTTATTCCCTTTGAAGAATGTTTCACTGCCCTGTTCGCTTGCAGTTTTGGTAGTATAGGGGGCAGCGTGGCCAAGCAGTTAGAGCCCTGGCATTGGTTGTTCAAAGGCTGGATAGTGCTATCCACCGGATAAATCTCTATCCAGTGGATAGTGCAATATTATTAATTTCCCCAATACTTATCCGCTGAATAGTGACTTAATATCTGGTGGATAGCGCTATCCAATGTTCTGGACTTGAAATTTGGAGACCCTGAGTTGAAGCCCCACCCTGAAGGCTACGTAGCTGGATTTGTTGTCGGTATTCCCATGTTCAAATCCTCGACCTTGCTTTTAAATAGCCAACTGGTTTGCTTCTGGCCAGTTGGGATTGTTAACCCCATTATGTGTGATTTAATTTATTGGTTTCAAGGATTTGCTGTGGCCCCACTAGCATTTTATATTAGTGCTATAAATACTGCTGAGGGTGAATAACGGAAATTTAATAACAGAATAAGATTTAATACATGCAGCTCCTGTTTATTGTGAATTATAATTTTTAAATATTTCCTGACAGGGTAAAACTCAGGTAACCAAGCAGAAGCTGCCTCCAGCCACTAATGGTGCAGCCATGACAACAAATGAAGTGTTTGAAGGGATTGGAGATGATGATCTCTGAACTGAATAATACAGTTTTAATACTTCCCTGATAGATACTGTGTATGCTTTGCTAACAAGGGAGGGCTGGAAAGTTATTAATAATAAAATTTTAGAATTTTTGGATATTTTAGCTTTCACAAAAATAAGTCTTTTTCTATTAAAATGAGTGAGGGACTGGGTAAAAAGGCCTATAAAGTAACCAGATTTGATTTGATTTCTTTGCTCTTTTTCTTTCCTTGATGGACTAAGAAAAAAAAACAGACTGCTTGTAGACTAGTTGAAAAGTTAATCCACATACCACTTGTAAAAGGAGCAAATCTTAATTCAGATTGTAAAATTTGAGTGTGCTTGGGAAAAAAGAAAGTCAATAATTTACTGTTGGCTTTCAAAAAAATGAGCTTGGTATTGATTTGAGGCCCCTTTGTCCCTGCAACCCAACAAAGCTCTCACATCACAGATTTTCAAAAGTGTACTGTATGTTTTAACATTCAAGCCAAATGCACTGAATCCTCGGAGACCCAGGAGCTGTCAGTCGGGCCAGGAGAAAAGGTGCAACAGGAGTCTTCAAGCATGGGTGGAAGAGCCCCTGGGTACCCTAACTCACCAGACCCCCATTTCCAAATGGTCAAGCGAATGCTGCCTCCTGATTGGGCACAAAAATGCTTTGTATTATTGAGTTGAATTCGCAAACAGTAACTCCTGAGTTCTTTTTGTGAGTTTGTACATCACGGCTATTGTCTTGATCACGGCTTGTCTGGCTGATGCACCAAAGGAATGCATGCAATCAGGAAACTTTCAGTTTGATATAAGCTACCCATTTCAAAATACTGTATACCTAAAAACTAAAACGTATGTAAGGGTATTTTAAAGACACTTTTCCAAAAATACAAGCTTGAGCTTACAACCGGTATTCAAGCTTGCATTGATCTTGCCTTCATAAATATTAGGGAGTTTAAGATACCACGACGGCTAATGGCCGTGAAAACGTTGCTTGAAAAGTGACATCATCATCATTATTCCATCTCGCTTACTTCGTCAAATACAAGCAAACTCTGATCTTCTGGAGCTGAATTCCTTTCAACCATATCCAAATTCAGAAAGAGAAAGAAAAGCTTGTCATTACTTGTATACGCGTCCTCCACAAAATGTGGAAATAGGCATTTTCACATGCTAGTTGTGCAGTGATGGCAAAGAAATGTACAGAAAATGTGATGCATGTGCAAAGTTGTTGTTTTGCCATGTCTAGCTTTTGTTTACCTGATGTTCTCATTGTCATTACTGTTGGGGTATCTTAAACTTCCTATTATTCATGATAACTTGTGTTCAGTCAGAAACAGAATTTTCTCGGTGCAAGGAATAAGTAGAAAATGAAAGTTTCCCTTGCACACACAACCTTGGGCAACTATGAACCAGACAAGTATGGTGAGACAAAAGCCGTTGTTTACAAACTCACGAAAAGAACTGAGGAGATTCTGTTTGCCAACTGGGCGCTATAATGCAAAGCATTTTTGGTGCCCAATCAGGAGCCAGCATTTGCTTTACCGTTTGGAAATGGTTCGGTGAGAGTTGGTACCCAGGACCTCTCCTGCCCGTGCTTGAATACTTTTGTAAACATTAAGCCTTCTCTCCCAGCCTGACTGACTGCCCCTGGATCTCCCAGGATGAATACATTGATATTTAGTGAATGTACTTACATTCAAACGCTCTCAGTGATGTGCTTAGGTTTTGCAATTTTATTTCTCTCAATTTTCAGGCATTCCTACCTAGTCCCTGGTTCATTATTTGCAAAAAAGAGGCTTTTACAACTTAAAAATCTCGCTTGGACAATGAGTCACAAGATTATTTTGTCATCTGCCACTCATAAGATGAGCAGTGTTCACGTTGTAGGGAGTATAGCCTTTTGTCTTGCCTCAAACGCTGATTGACATTCTTGCTTTACACATTTCCACTTTGCCTTTAAACCTTGTTTTCTTTAAAAACAGTAGCTGTGATATAAAATAGTCAAAAGAGGATCCTTATTTTTGGATGGTAAACAAGTAAAAAATTATTTATCTACGATTTTAATGGTTATTACTATTAATAAAAATTTGTCAGCATATTAACTTTAGGGTTAATGTTCTTTGGCTCTTTGTAAGAGTTAACAAGCAAAGACAATACAACCATAAAAACAAAATTATAACAAATTTTTTAGTATTAATTTTTGTTACATAAATCTTACGAGAAAAGTTTGGATAGTAGTTTATGATGATCAGGAGTGTTTTATCATGCTTAAAATACAACTGAAGGTTTAAAACCTTCCTGTAGTAGATCAGTTAATTCAGTAGAATAACCCTTACTTTTTGATGTGAATGGTTTTTTAAAATTTTTCTGACCAAATTGGCACTAGAACCTCAGCTGTGCTTCATCAGATCTTCAAGATTAATTTCCTTTGTAATTTTTTTTAATCATGAATTATGAGGTTTTAAAATTATTTTTTAAGATGTTCTCATTTGGTCATCATGTCCTACATGTGACTGTTGAATGGTAATATAATATTGGATCAAGACTTAGTGATAATTTAAAGGGAGGCATAAAAAGGGGTTCAATTCAGACACCCTCTAAAGCAGATCTAGCGGAGATTTCAATACTGATTTAAACATTAATTATTCTTTAATTGTGCATTGGTGATGTGAACAGTTAATGAATAAAATTGTTTTTTTTATAAATTTTGAAATCACCTGTGTGTTGTTTGCTTACAAAGTTATTTTTGCAAAGAGACATTATTTTGTCAGTGTAATGACTGTCCTATGTAAATTTGTACTTTTTAATAGATTTTGTTATTAAAGTTACCTACATGCGTGACTGGATCAGTTAAACATTGATTTGTTGTAAGGTAAAGGGAATGGATGCATTCCAAGCAACTATAGTTTTAGCTCCAATGCACACATTTGAAGAGTGCTGTAATTATGACATTACCATTAATTCATTACCCTACACACAGGAGGCCAACAAAAGTGAGCCCAGTTGCATAAAATGTAACATCAGATGAAATTGTTGACATTTTGGTGTTTAAAATACAGAGGGGTTTTCAATAAGAGCTGGCAGACAGCAACTTTAGCCAGATGTTTCACGTGAATAAAAAAGCCAAAGTTTAATGATGTCTGTGTTCTGTTCAAACACTGTAATTTTTTACTTTTGCTCTGGAAAGCTGGGAATGCATTCTATGAGGTCCAGATGTCAAATATTTTCGGGGAGGTGTGTTCCGGGCAGGCCACTGGACTCCCTTTAATAGAAACCCATGCTGTTATCACAAGTCGTTTCCTGCTCTGCCTACTCCAGAGCTTTTGCTCCCTACTTAAAACCTTATTGAAAACCCTGATACAGAGTTTGACCAGGGCCAGGTTTACACTAAAGGGAATTGCACTGGATTCTTGATGAATTAAGAACATTATTGGTAGTGGGTTTGTTTTGCTGTTGTCGTACATGCAGATGCATTAACCCAATAAATTCTTAGTTTGGTTGCATGTCTGGAGATTTTGAATCTGGAATATGTCTAGAGTGAATACTTTGTTTGCAAATGAATTTCCTCGGATTAACTAAAGTGCATAAAGTAAGTAGCCTGTGCCACAGACAAAAATTAACTCTGGTTAAATCTATCTGTGAAACAGCGCAGAAGTTCGTGTTCTGGGCCCCCACCTGTGTACCAGGATTTGAGTACATGCCATGATTGGGCTGTTTTTACAAAAGCCATTGTTGATTTGCCAATCAAGTTGAAAGGAAATTCAAAATGCACTTCTGTTGATTTGTTGAAACCGTTGGGGGCCCAGAGCAAGGATCTAGGTGCTCCTTTCCAGACGTTACTAACCAGAGTTAAATTATGTCTGTGACGTAGGCTAATAAACACCTGTGAAAGAAGAAGAGGTCACAGATTTGAATCCTGATGGGCCAGGGGACTACTTTGATATTACAATACAAGTAGCAAAAGTAAGCAGTGAAAGGGAATTAAAAGAAGAGAAACTGAAATCCAGCCAGGTTAAAAAACTTTTAAAATATCATGACAAGGTAGCTGCCCTTAACAGAACCAAAATGGAAAGTTGCATGTTTTTCTAAAGATTTTAAAACCCAGTTGCACATGCCCATTTATTAAGTGGGTTAAACATCAAAGGCTAGTTTCCTTTTTGTCCGCATAAAGCAATACCCATTGTTATAGTTGTAGTGGTAATTTTCTATGACAAGAATAACACAAAGAGCAACAAAGCCTCAACATGGTGATTGACATGAATCATGTTAAGCCCCCTTTTCAAGGCATTTATTTATTTTTATTGAAGAATTTCACTTTGATACTAAGGAAAGCTGCCAGTAATAAAAATCCATCCTAAATTTGCTTGTGTATCTTTTATAGAGCACTTCGATCCTCAATGAAGGTCTCGACATGGAGTAAGTTCCAAGTGAGTTTGGAAAATATTATGAACACAACAAAACAAAATTTGAAAGAAGTCTTGTTGTGGACAGGCTGTGGAACAGGACATAAAAATTTGGCACACAAGTTAACAAACCAGCCAGGTGCACTGTCTTATAGTTCCTCCTTCTTAGGTGTTTCATCTTCATCCATATCTACATCTGACAAATCAATATCCTCTTCTACTGGCATCTCTCCATCTTTTCCATCCCATGGTTCCGTGTCATCAATGCTGGGTAAAGCTGCACCCTTGACAGGAGAGGTGGAGCCACGCCCAACCGAAACAGTCCTTAGGAATTCCTCAACACCATTATTGTCAAAGGGACCCTTTAAGGTAGCATACTTCATTTTGCGCACATTAACGGCTGCCATAGCAGGATAACCAAATCCTCCCATACCCAAAGCATCTTCAAGCTTTGGCTGTGCCCCAGCTTCAGCCCAAATCCAACCCCACAGCTTCTTCTTATATTTCTCGCCCATTGATTTCATGATTTTCAGATACTGGTTTCTTCCAGATGCCCCAGTGTCCAGGATGTGTGGTAAAACAGCAACAATGCAGATGGGTTTTTCCTCGCAGTTTTCTTTCAGTACCTGACTCTTAACAATTTGTAAAACCTCTGGTGGCTCAATGGATTCTGCAAGCTTATCCAGAGCAAACTGGATAATATCGGAAGCAGATCTTGGTCCTTCATAGTCTTCAACACTATGTGCATTCTTGACTCCTGCGTTAAACACTTTAATGGACGGGTAGCCTTGAACTTGATATCTGCTAGCTGAGACAGTATGAACAGTAGCATCAAGAGCAGCAACTTTCACTTTGCCTTTAAGTTCTGTTGCTGCTTTGGCCCATTCTGGGGCCAGCCTTTGGCAGTGACCACACCTAGGATGAACAAGAAGATATTAAATGCTTTTATCAGCTCAAGTTTGAAGTTTAACGGCAATCATGAAACTAATTATTTTTATGATGATGATAAAAAAGATTGCTAAAGAAAAGCTGCTGGATCCTGCAGTAGCCTGCATAGCTGGCACTGAGTGAGTTTTATTATCATTATTATTTTTTGTTAAGTGAAGAAATGAGCGGAAAAGACGCAAAATCACCAGCTGTGCAGGCAAATCATTGGCTCTGTTTTTGAGCATCCAGCAGCAGTAGCATCCAGCAGCAGTAGGTTTTCTTGGATACAGGATTCAACTTGTTGAAGGCTAGGATAATTGAGGATTTTAGAGACAAAGAGGAGCACAACTGATTTGGGGATGTGCGTTATGAATGGGATACCAGGTTTAATAGTGATTTTGCCATGCGGGATTTGGCAAATGTTTTAAAGGACTGATATTCCTGTAAGGAAACTACCACTAAGCTGCATTTGCTTATAATTAATGTTGAAAATTCCACCCGTCTTGACTTAACAAAAGTTGCTCATATTATTTTTCCTTGACCTTGTCAAGTGCCTTTTTGAGCACAGCACTTGTTTGATTTCATTATCTTATTTTTTTACTTAAGGCAGGTGGTAAAAGGAATGTCCACAATTGCGATTAGCCAAATCATAAAAACCAATGGGATTACAGGATTGAAGAAACCTATGGGTATCCCTTTAATTTTTACTCTTAACTACTGAAAAAACACTGATCTCCTAACAAGCTTAATTTAAAAACTTTAAAACACTTACCATGGTGCAAAGAATTCAACTAGAACTAAGTCCTTTGTGTTAAGAACTTCTTCTTCAAAGTTGCTGTCTGTCAACTCAATAACATCCTTTTTGTCTCCAGCTTTTCCACTGCCCTGTGAAAAACATTTAAATACTTATTTTAAAGTGCTGACAGATACTTGCGTTTTGCAACATGGCTTAAATTCAAAAATGGCAAAACATGTCCACTCTCTCCATGTGCTTTGATCAAAACATGAGAAGATGTTAAACAAGGGTTTTGTAAAATTTCACAAAAAGCTGAAGAAGTTGACAGTTACTGTCAAAGGACAAACAATAATTAATAAACAAAGCTTTAAAACTCTACCTGCTTTCCTCCTCCACTGGAACCAGATCGACGTCCTCCTCCTGACAACCTGTCTTTCACCATGGATTTGAGAGCACTGAGACCAGAATCACAGATGGCCTGTGCAGTTCTAGCACCTTAGGGTATGCACAAGATACAAACTGTTACAATAATATTAAAAACATTTACCAGTTACAACCCCCTTAAACTACTACCACCATGACCATGACCATGACCACTGTGACCGACGGTCTCCAATAATGCCAACACTAATCACCAATACTTATTACTAAAATACTTATTACTATAATATTACAATACCTATTACTAAAACCCTCTATTCTTTAGTAAAATAACCCTACAAATGACAACACATACCATTATAGTCTTCTGGCTTGTTCTTGTTGGCTCCAAAAACCTAAGATAGACAATAATTTTAAAAATATTTACTTTCATTTAGCAGGAAAAGGATTACATGTGAATGTTTTATTACTAAGGGCATTTTCCAAAGGACAGAGAAGTCAAAAATAGCAGTCTTTTCTTGAAATTTAAACTAAAACCTGTCAATGCCATGCACTGTCACTATCCAAAAATGAACCCATCCAGCCATAACCTGAGATCAGGCGTCATTTATTTATTTATTTTTTTTTGCTTCTTTGCTTTTTCTTTGGCTCGAGAGGGAAAAAAAAAATAACGCCTGATACATTTATTTAACACGCCGTCAACCGCCCCCTAATTTACATAATCTAACGTCTGCTTGACCTGTCATGTTATCAGCCAATAAGCGTTTACCATACCGGAATCAAATTTTGGCGCGAATAATGTCTCTTTTAAAATCAATTTTAGGGAAAAGGAAATTTTTAAGTACGTCCATGTTCAGATGGCGCTTCCTAAAAAAGAATTTAATGTGTTGTTTTTGCGATGAAATACTGCTAGCTGAAGCTGCCGTACCTTTATTTAACAGCTACAACTAATAAAGAATTTACTGATCTTTACTGGTTAAAGCTCGTTGACTTCGTTCTGTACCGAAAGCAGTGAAAAAAAAAATTAGGCTGAACGACATATTTCTCGAACTGAAAGGTGCTGTGAACGCCCAGATCGCTCAGAATAATTCACAGTATGATTTCTGAAGGAGGAATTACAGTCAAACCAGGTCAAGATTCCATTCCAATTGATTATTTGAAAAGTGAACCCGTTTGTCGCTTCTGTAACTTCTGGCCGGTATCAACTTGCATTCAAATGATCCGTGAAGTTTTGACTGCAACTGTTTTAGTATACGATGAGATGGAAAATATTTCAATGGATGAAACTTATATTTAGGCATTCTTCAAATTCAAGAAAACTGAGCCGGCAGAAATTTCATAACGAACTCGCGTGTGTATTCACTGCTCATTACGCAAGCAAAAATGCAGACTGAAATCAACAACAACTAACGGATGGCGGCTTTAGCTCCAATGCACACATTTGAAGAGTGCTGTAATTATGACATTACCATTAATTCATTACCCTACACACAGGAGGCCAACAAAAGTGAGCCCAGTTGCATAAAATGTAACATCAGATGAAATTGTTGACATTTTGGTGTTTAAAATACAGAGGGGTTTTCAATAAGAGCTGGCAGACAGCAACTTTAGCCAGATGTTTCACGTGAATAAAAAAGCCAAAGTTTAATGATGTCTGTGTTCTGTTCAAACACTGTAATTTTTTACTTTTGCTCTGGAAAGCTGGGAATGCATTCTATGAGGTCCAGATGTCAAATATTTTCGGGGAGGTGTGTTCCGGGCAGGCCACTGGACTCCCTTTAATAGAAACCCATGCTGTTATCACAAGTCGTTTCCTGCTCTGCCTTCTCCAGAGCTTTTGCTCCCTACTTAAAACCTTATTGAAAACCCTGATACAGAGTTTGACCAGGGCCAGGTTTACACTAAAGGGAATTGCACTGGATTCTTGATGAATTAAGAACATTATTGGTAGTGGGTTTGTTTTGCTGTTGTCGTACATGCAGATGCATTAACCCAATAAATTCTTAGTTTGGTTGCATGTCTGGAGATTTTGAATCTGGAATATGTCTAGAGTGAATACTTTGTTTGCAAATGAATTTCCTCGGATTAACTAAAGTGCATAAAGTAAGTAGCCTGTGCCACAGACAAAAATTAACTCTGGTTAAATCTATCTGTGAAACAGCGCAGAAGTTCGTGTTCTGGGCCCCCACCTGTGTACCAGGATTTGAGTACATGCCATGATTGGGCTGTTTTTACAAAAGCCATTGTTGATTTGCCAATCAAGTTGAAAGGAAATTCAAAATGCACTTCTGTTGATTTGTTGAAACCGTTGGGGGCCCAGAGCAAGGATCTAGGTGCTCCTTTCCAGACGTTACTAACCAGAGTTAAATTATGTCTGTGACGTAGGCTAATAAACACCTGTGAAAGAAGAAGAGGTCACAGATTTGAATCCTGATGGGCCAGGGGACTACTTTGATATTACAATACAAGTAGCAAAAGTAAGCAGTGAAAGGGAATTAAAAGAAGAGAAACTGAAATCCAGCCAGGTTAAAAAACTTTTAAAATATCATGACAAGGTAGCTGCCCTTAACAGAACCAAAATGGAAAGTTGCATGTTTTTCTAAAGATTTTAAAACCCAGTTGCACATGCCCATTTATTAAGTGGGTTAAACATCAAAGGCTAGTTTCCTTTTTGTCCGCATAAAGCAATACCCATTGTTATAGTTGTAGTGGTAATTTTCTATGACAAGAATAACACAAAGAGCAACAAAGCCTCAACATGGTGATTGACATGAATCATGTTAAGCCCCCTTTTCAAGGCATTTATTTATTTTTATTGAAGAATTTCACTTTGATACTAAGGAAAGCTGCCAGTAATAAAAATCCATCCTAAATTTGCTTGTGTATCTTTTATAGAGCACTTCGATCCTCAATGAAGGTCTCGACATGGAGTAAGTTCCAAGTGAGTTTGGAAAATATTATGAACACAACAAAACAAAATTTGAAAGAAGTCTTGTTGTGGACAGGCTGTGGAACAGGACATAAAAATTTGGCACACAAGTTAACAAACCAGCCAGGTGCACTGTCTTATAGTTCCTCCTTCTTAGGTGTTTCATCTTCATCCATATCTACATCTGACAAATCAATATCCTCTTCTACTGGCATCTCTCCATCTTTTCCATCCCATGGTTCCGTGTCATCAATGCTGGGTAAAGCTGCACCCTTGACAGGAGAGGTGGAGCCACGCCCAACCGAAACAGTCCTTAGGAATTCCTCAACACCATTATTGTCAAAGGGACCCTTTAAGGTAGCATACTTCATTTTGCGCACATTAACGGCTGCCATAGCAGGATAACCAAATCCTCCCATACCCAAAGCATCTTCAAGCTTTGGCTGTGCCCCAGCTTCAGCCCAAATCCAACCCCACAGCTTCTTCTTATATTTCTCGCCCATTGATTTCATGATTTTCAGATACTGGTTTCTTCCAGATGCCCCAGTGTCCAGGATGTGTGGTAAAACAGCAACAATGCAGATGGGTTTTTCCTCGCAGTTTTCTTTCAGTACCTGACTCTTAACAATTTGTAAAACCTCTGGTGGCTCAATGGATTCTGCAAGCTTATCCAGAGCAAACTGGATAATATCGGAAGCAGATCTTGGTCCTTCATAGTCTTCAACACTATGTGCATTCTTGACTCCTGCGTTAAACACTTTAATGGACGGGTAGCCTTGAACTTGATATCTGCTAGCTGAGACAGTATGAACAGTAGCATCAAGAGCAGCAACTTTCACTTTGCCTTTAAGTTCTGTTGCTGCTTTGGCCCATTCTGGGGCCAGCCTTTGGCAGTGACCACACCTAGGATGAACAAGAAGATATTAAATGCTTTTATCAGCTCAAGTTTGAAGTTTAACGGCAATCATGAAACTAATTATTTTTATGATGATGATAAAAAAGATTGCTAAAGAAAAGCTGCTGGATCCTGCAGTAGCCTGCATAGCTGGCACTGAGTGAGTTTTATTATCATTATTATTTTTTGTTAAGTGAAGAAATGAGCGGAAAAGACGCAAAATCACCAGCTGTGCAGGCAAATCATTGGCTCTGTTTTTGAGCATCCAGCAGCAGTAGCATCCAGCAGCAGTAGGTTTTCTTGGATACAGGATTCAACTTGTTGAAGGCTAGGATAATTGAGGATTTTAGAGACAAAGAGGAGCACAACTGATTTGGGGATGTGCGTTATGAATGGGATACCAGGTTTAATAGTGATTTTGCCATGCGGGATTTGGCAAATGTTTTAAAGGACTGATATTCCTGTAAGGAAACTACCACTAAGCTGCATTTGCTTATAATTAATGTTGAAAATTCCACCCGTCTTGACTTAACAAAAGTTGCTCATATTATTTTTCCTTGACCTTGTCAAGTGCCTTTTTGAGCACAGCACTTGTTTGATTTCATTATCTTATTTTTTTACTTAAGGCAGGTGGTAAAAGGAATGTCCACAATTGCGATTAGCCAAATCATAAAAACCAATGGGATTACAGGATTGAAGAAACCTATGGGTATCCCTTTAATTTTTACTCTTAACTACTGAAAAAACACTGATCTCCTAACAAGCTTAATTTAAAAACTTTAAAACACTTACCATGGTGCAAAGAATTCAACTAGAACTAAGTCCTTTGTGTTAAGAACTTCTTCTTCAAAGTTGCTGTCTGTCAACTCAATAACATCCTTTTTGTCTCCAGCTTTTCCACTGCCCTGTGAAAAACATTTAAATACTTATTTTAAAGTGCTGACAGATACTTGCGTTTTGCAACATGGCTTAAATTCAAAAATGGCAAAACATGTCCACTCTCTCCATGTGCTTTGATCAAAACATGAGAAGATGTTAAACAAGGGTTTTGTAAAATTTCACAAAAAGCTGAAGAAGTTGACAGTTACTGTCAAAGGACAAACAATAATTAATAAACAAAGCTTTAAAACTCTACCTGCTTTCCTCCTCCACTGGAACCAGATCGACGTCCTCCTCCTGACAACCTGTCTTTCACCATGGATTTGAGAGCACTGAGACCAGAATCACAGATGGCCTGTGCAGTTCTAGCACCTTAGGGTATGCACAAGATACAAACTGTTACAATAATATTAAAAACATTTACCAGTTACAACCCCCTTAAACTACTACCACCATGACCATGACCATGACCACTGTGACCGACGGTCTCCAATAATGCCAACACTAATCACCAATACTTATTACTAAAATACTTATTACTATAATATTACAATACTTATTACTAAAACCCTCTATTCTTTAGTAAAATAACCCTACAAATGACAACACATACCATTATAGTCTTCTGGCTTGTTCTTGTTGGCTCCAAA